GAATACCTATAGAAGCACAAACTAAACAAAGGATTGCAAAAATATACATTATTTTTATTACATTCCAAGAGACAATGTTCATCATATTTCTTCATTTTCTTCAATATCTCCTCCATGAGAAACTTTGCATGTTGTTTTTTGCCATGTTGATTCTTTTATATTTTCATACTGTATTACTTTTCTGATGTTCTTCCAAGAAATTCAGCAGTTCAGATCTATCGTTGCTTTTTTATCTATCTGTTCAAGTTGTTTACGTAAGTCATCCAGGCTGTCATCTGTTTATAGCATTTGCATACTAGAGCAAACTGTAATGGGATTGATATCAGAGCGCTCCCCTAATAGAACTGATATCATGTTCAACGTATGACCAATCTCTTCTATCATTGCCTGATTGACAATTATGGTATTTCATTTCTTTGGGATTTTTCAATAAAATCTTCCAATGATTTTCAACTTGTGAAGTTGATGTAGAATACATGTCTTTACTCATTACCTGCATTTCATCACTGATAGATTCGAACACTGTTAGTTCATTTTTTCATCAGATTTATTATGAGGAGTTTTTCTTTCCTCTGTCCAACCTCTTACTGAGGAATGTGAATAATGGAATCACAATCATGGTAGAAAGATCTGAATATCAGACAGGGCATTCAGATTTCTTCAGAGAATAATTGTTGAAAAACTGAAGTTCAAATATTAGTGGTTCATATTTTGAACCTCGCCATAGCCATATACTCACTTTTTTCAACTTTTTGATGATTAGACTGATTCTGTGTCATCCCCTCAACTTCGATAACATTCTCCAGCTCCATATGAGATGAACTGTGACTCACATTTGGACATACTCAAGCCGATCAATGGAGATCCAATGTTGTGTTCGATCTAAAAACAACATTTCGAATGTTGATGGTGAAGCAGAGCAAGTCAACATGTATTGAGAGAACAAATGTTTATTTGACTTCACATAACAGAACTGGAATATTCAACCACAAAAAAGTTCGAAATTACTTGGTACGAACCGTGTACCTAGTGCCCTCTGCGAGAGTCAGATATATGGAAACAAATTCATGCTTTATGTAACGTAGACCTCTCAGAGACGTTACAATATTGTTTTGATCTGGTTTAGAAGTTGATATTCCATATTTTTCAGTCAACTCATTTCTGTTTCAGATCTTTGTGGTACAACATGTCGACGTTTGTATGTTTTCTAACGGGAAATTCAAAAACGTCGTGGCGGTATTGAACGCAAAGGATGACTGTCCGATCCACCACGGAAAATCTTTGAGAAAGACCTACACCCTCACGCCTATCAAGAGTTCAACGAAAAACTGGATAGCTCTAGAAGAATCCTACAACAAAACCGGGACCAGTTTGGCTTCCACTGTTACCTCTACGGTAAGATTATAGTAGTTTTTCTACTTCCGCGCGGTTCACTTTTACGCACTAATTCAGGTGTTGCAAGAGTAACTTTCCTGCACTAGTGCGGAGAAGTGAATTTGTTGTTGTTGTGTTGAAGTTTTTGGGGAGTATACTGATCTTTTGAATTTTCCGCACGCGAATGCAGATGACCCAACGACGCTTAGCCTGATATGTTGTTTCCATACCACGAATAACAGCTGATTTCGAGAGATTATTGAATTAATCATAAGGAATCAGTTGATTCCCAAATGGAGATAACTAATATCTCCATTTGGAACTTGAGAGGTGGGACGGATGAGGAATTTAACTGGTGGATCTCACAAGATCTGCAGTACACGGATTATTGTTTTCAGGCCACCAAACGTATAACCACGGCACTTCACTATTTTCAGTGATTGTTTGCCCCTAGGTACCCTCTCCGAAATGATGGCCCTATCGCCCACACTCAAAATATCAATACATCATAGAAAAAAATGTTAACGAATTGGATCATATTCTGAAAGGATTCTTTGTGGAACGAATAATACAGAGCCAGAATTTCACTATACAAGTGACATATTATTTAGTAGAGTCCACTTCATCATTTCAAACGAGTAAATTAGGATCGGAAAAGAAAGCATGTTAGTTGCAGCGACTTTGGTGTTTCCCGACTGCTCTGACGACCAGATCTGTCAAAGCTGCTGCCGATACTTGCTACGGAGAGCGTTTTTTACCCATTGTGCCTCCTGGATGTGAGTTTCATTTATACTCAGGTAGGTGTACGTCTCTCCAGCACCTAGGTGATGTTGGATGCTCCCGTCCACGAGCTGCGCGTCCTTGTCATAGTTCTCACATCAAATCATCACATCATGATTCTGTTTCAATTGCCTGTGTTTACTTCCGCACCACCATGAGGGATTCGTCCATATATCTCTCACTTGAGATAGAAAGTTTGAGATCATCCATATACAATAAGTGGATGACCTTATGCCTCCAGTAACTGGGTGGCCCGCAGACGTAAAGGGCTATGGGAGTCCCCTTGAAATACTCTCTCCTCATTTTGATCATCATTATCATTATGTTTAGTTCAAATTGATTTTTGTCTCTGTTCGGGCTGTTGGGGAGTGGTCACTGTAACCATTCACCATGTGCCCTGAGTAGACGCAAAGGTCCGTTTATGAAGGCCTTCTGCATTTCACCAACTACAGAGTGTGCCTCATCACGGCATGCTGAAATTTTCTGTTTCTCCGAGGAAAGCCGATAATCAGGATGACTACTTTCACAGATTGATCTGGATAGAGCCTACGTAGCACAAAGAGGAGATCTCGATATCGAATCCGTTTCTCTTGCTCCTTTGAAACGATGTTCGGATCGGCTGGCGCCAAAACTACAATCATGAACATCGCTTTGGTTTGATGATAGAGGAGGAAATCAGGCTTGTGAACCTGTATTTGACTGAAGGTGAGGAATGAGAAGTTCAATGAATTTGGCACCTCTCATTCTCCACAACCAACTCGATATTCCTCGGACTGGGCACTCGCAATGCCGCATTTAGTCTATGGATGTAGGCCAAGACTGCCTACTCCATTCGAGGGGACAGCAGGTGCATAATTGTCTCGAGCGCAGGCCCTGCAATTTTTATCAGATGCCTCTCTGTCTATCATTATCATTATTATTATTATCAAGAAGAATGGATTTGTAGCATCAACTTATCATTTATGCTAGAATGCTTCCTTGTTGGACTGAGCAAGTTCTTGTTGAATCAAACAGATACATGGTCATTTCATAGGAGGAGCTTGTTCAAATCAACAGTGTTGTTCAATTGAATCAACAGTATAATATCAATTTCATCAACACAATATGTGGTTATGTCAATCCAAAATGATGTCGTTGTTGATTCAACTATATGCATTTTGTTGATTTGATGGAATAATGATCATTCTGATAATAATATATCTTTGCAGCAACATTTAGGTTTTCTCATTCCAATGCAGCAATGAACACATTTTGAACGGATCATTTGCTTGAATAGAGCGACGGAATATCATGTTATATCCATAAAATACTCTTTCCATTCAACATCAAGTTGAATCCTCGCCACTAGATGGAGACCTTTCCACCCCGTATATGCCTGTGTCGGAATATTTATATACGTGCAGCCCGATCCTTCGTGTTTGAGATATAAGCTTAATGAATCTATCTCAGGATAGCCTTGCTATCTCAGCTGAAGTGTGAAAAGTAGTAGAGGCTGAGGATCTATTCTATATATATAGATGTCGACTATTTCCTTGTTTCAGTATTTGATTCTATTGATATGGAAACTTTCGAATCAATACTGAATATCGTTCAACAAAAGAGTTTGTCGAATTGAAATACGAATTCTCTCGAATCAACGATATATTGCATTGAGTCAACCAAATATTTCATTGAATCGACATAATATTTCGTTGATCAATATTCAGTTTATTCAATGGAATATTTCATCAAATCAACCAAATATCTCATTGATTCACCCAAATATTTCATTGAATCAACCAAATATCTCATCAAGTCAACTGAATATTTCATTGAATCAGACTGAATGATTGTTTGATCCAAGCTTCACCCAACGCATTTGCTTTATAAACATAAAAAACCTTCGAATGTAAAAACTCTCTTTATCAACGAATGCGTGCTACGGATACACTGTACACCTAAACCAGAGGTCCCGTTAGCGACACCATATAACCTCGGTGCCATTCATCCCTCGTCACGGTTTCCCACAACTTGGATGAGGTTGCCAGAGCATCTTCATCAATTTGTGGTCACATAAGCAGATGTTGATGAAGTGCCCCATTCTTGCACTTAGATCTGTCTCATCTGAGTGAGGAGAGCAAAGATGTTCACAAAATGCTCAATCTGCCAAGCAGCCACAGCTTGTCCTCCCCGCACTATGGTAAGGTCGGGCTCCAGAAGAGTCAAAAAAAAAAAGAATTGATCAAGAGAGGCCGACAGAAAAGATTGAAAACTGAAGAGTGGAGAGGATACCACTAAAGACAAGTTGAAGATTGATGAGTATCCGGCTGGGGTACCTCGGGATTGCTATACCCGTTATCACAAGTTGTGAGCCCCTGAGGGTGTTGATTGACTCATCTCCAGATATATCATCAACATCGAATATTATAAGTGATAATCATACTCGCCTAATATCATTCCACAAATTGTACAATCCATAAAGCATGAGTAATAAAATGGAGGAATACAATACAGACAATACTTGTCTAGGTATTTCCTGCTTTCGATCCACTTGCTTCAAAGTGTGATATAAATTTATCATATTTCAATTTATATTATTTATGAGGAGCAAAAATGCGGAATCCACTGTTAACATTTTTCCCGCAAAGTATCCATTCTTACTAATTTTGGTGCGCTCTCGCCATCTAGATCATCAGATTTGAGCAAAGCTCTATGATTCACATACAAATCCCCATCTGAAATAGACACATCCGTTCAAATGCCGATAAATACTTTGAATAGTGAAACGTAATTATCACTTGGGTAGGTTCTGTCTATTCATTCTATTTCAAGAAATGGTTCCATATTTTTTTCATTATGAACCCGAAATGACTGACCAGAATGTAAGGTTTGCACGTTTATGATTCTTGGAATGGAAGAAATTGCTTGAGTCGTTTTATCAGTTTTTGGTGCGGTAGGTACTTTCCATATCATTCCGTCTCGGGTTGATACGATTACTACTGTTTTGATATAGAGGAAGGACAAGTTAGGCTGGTGTATCAGGAATTGGTTCAGGAAGAAGAAGAAGAAAGCAAAAAAAACAAAGGTGATCAACATGAAAAATAATGAAATCATATATCATGATGATGATCCTGATTTAAATCACTTCAGGAGCCTACGTATTTCTGAAAAGGATTATGGTTCATGATATTCATGAGATCATAAATGAAATATCTCAGAAGAATATGAAAACTGAGCAGGATATTGAACTGTTTCAGTTCATTTCCTAGTAGTATTATGTTGTCCCAAAGAAGTATAACAGGACATTCCTGACCAGAAGAAGAAAAATTAATTCGAGTAAAAACCGATAAATCCAATTGAAGAATATTCATATTTTTTCAAAATGACTAATTTTTTGATCTCAATATTTGAGGTTCATGGTTTATGACATACAAGTAACTGAATTCAGTCGAAATATTATTCGAATAATCTTGGGACCTTCCTCCATCGAAAAAAAAAATTATCTCGAAATCACCAAAAGTGGATTTATTGGTTTCTGCATTCTTTCTCCTCGTATATTCAAAGGAGGAAAAGTCGTTGCTGATACGTTAGAGATCAAACTATCCCACTAACTTAGTAGCAAGCTAGTTTCATATATATATATATATATATGTATATAAGACACATAGCCCATGAACTTACTCTGTATTTACACCTAATACTGAATGAATTTAATTGAATTGAAATTGAAGACAGAAAACAATTTCTCTTCATGAACAATAATTCATGGATGTCCTTGATCGAATAAGATCCAGTGATCATGCAAGACAGTTAAACCTATTTCAAACTGCAAATGCGCTCTGGAACAAGATATTGATTTACTCAAGATTGAATGTTGTCGTGCATATATGATATTTATATCTGCTTCATTCTATTCAATTTTGCTTGATTCAACGATCCACCTCCATTCGTGTGTTATCATCATCAGGAAAAATATTATTATCATCAATATCATTATGACCATTGCACTTGCATTTGCTCGCAGGCTCACAACGTCGAAGATCGCAACGTGTTCGCCATCTACGTATCCTATTACGTGAAAGTTAAGCTGCTCGTGGGCATGATGGGTGGCGAGGTGAGCTTGAAGTTACCCTTCACCCTCATGCACACCTGCTCCGACATGGAACACGCCGAGTGCCTCACCAAGGTGGTGCCAGACGTGAAACCCGACGTCGAGTTGCACGTGAAGCCTGACGTTGAGTTGCACGTGAAGCCCGACGTTGAGCTGCACGTGGAGCCTGATGTGGAGCTGAGCGTGATGCCTGATGCGGAGTTGCACGTGAAGCCTGCCGCGGAGCCCGACGAAACGCTGGGACAATGCGAGAAGTCGGTGAAGCCAGAGAAGGACGGAACGTGAGACAAGGAGCAACAGGTAACTGATAATGAAAGTTTCTTGGCTTTGCCACGAAAAATTAGGCACTTGCTTTGCTACGAAAAATGAAGCACTTTCGTACACTTGCAGTTATTTATCCTGTATTTGAGCGTTCTTTTGAAAAGTGCATTTGACACCACTGTAGTTTATTTCTACCTGCTCAGTTAGCACAGATTCATCCCAGAGGTGTAAGAGTGCATCACATTTATGACACACATCAGATCCGTTACTCGAAATGAGAGTCCCATCTGAGAAAACAGTTTATTAACAATAAAGGAATTTTATTCATTGTTAACGAATGACGTTGTTGAATATGGACTAACTAACATGATTTCATCAAAAACTAATGGTATTTCAAAAAATTACAAACGAATATACAGGTTAATATCAAGTTATAATAATCTTGATCTCATGAAACATAGGTATATTAAATATTAACAAATATCACTTTGTGGACACTATACCCCATTTTGCATTAAAATAGATTTGTTTATAATAATGTAACGTTACTTTGAATTCAATCAACGTTTTCTTAATGCAATCGACTGTCACTTATATGTTAAGTTATCTATATTAAAACTTAATACACTGCGTTTCAACTTTTGCTTTTCCAGTGTTGTACAGAAAGGAGGCATTGTTCCAATGAAGAAGCATTACTTATAGCATAAGGAATCATTTTGTTATTGATGAGTTATGCTTCGTCAATATATAATATATTGTTTGGTTATTGATAGTTGATATTTTGAGTCGATGATCGATGGTTCCAATTGTTTTTTCCTAACAGAAAGAATAAAGAGTCTCTGAGAACAAATTTATTTGAGCAAAAGTTTACAGTATAGTTACATCACATATATTTTGATATCAAAACATCTGAATTGAAAGAGCCAAAATCAGACCAGAAATCCAGGTATCGAGCATCCACTATATTGATATGCATGATCTGTAACATGAAAATTGTAGGAATATTGGACCAAGCTGTATATAATGAATAATTGAATGTGGTAATTAGGGATTGTTATTGATAATTTATGTCATTCAATATTGTCATAAGATAAAATAAAATGCATTTATTATAAAATCTATTCAGATTTATTACAAATGGCGCAGTCGGACCGAACTTTCGTGAGAATCAACTACCAAGGCGATTCAGAAGAATCTGTACAAATACAGGAAGCAGAAAATATTCACCAACATTCATCTATTAAGAATCACGGAATCCACAATCCAGATGATTCAATAAAGATTAATAAGGACGAATTGAATGAAATGATGTGTAAGTGGTTGAATTTGGCTACATTCAATAAGAATAATAACAGAATCACATCATTCAACGGTATGAATGAAGATCCCAATACATGGGTGGAATCATTTCAATTTATGGCCCTTTCGAATGGATGGAAAGAAGATGGTGATAAGATTTTCAACCTAAGATTCTTTTTGGAAAATATAGCATTGAGATGGTATGAAGACAGGATGAAGGACCCTTCACATGATTTCAACTGGGAGAATTGGAAAGAATCACTTATACAAACTTTTGATGAGGACAACATTATCAAATGGGAGAGAGCAATGAATTTCCAATTCAAGAATGTATCGCTCATAGAATACTTTTATGAGAAACAACGATTGCTCTACTGTGCGGACAGTAAATTAACAGAAAAAACGTTAGTAGCACTCATCATATTGGGATTGCCATTCTATATTCAGAACCAGATTCGGAGCAAGACACCATCTAATAAAACAGAACTCATTCAGAATTTTAAATACATTAAAGTTCGAAGCGAGGAAAATAACAACCGTTATGAGATGAGAAGCATCAATAAACCTAGACAGCAGTTGACTATGCAGAGTAAGAACAATGAGAAGACATCACTACAGAATCAAGAAGAAAGAAGGTTTTCTAATAATCATATTGTAAGCAATTATTATAATGGAATAACAAATGGAGAAGAAATGAATGATGAAGAAATTTATCACAGCTTAACTGTTCATTCAGGAAAAGAACGTGAAAACGAAAATATCAGAGATGTCACTATAAACGAAATAAAAATCAAAGCACTTCTCGATACTGGATCAGACTTGGACATTATTAATGGAAAATTTACAAGAAATCATGCTTGTCCTAAGTTTGAAAATGTTAAATTCATAAAAAGTTTAGCTGGAATAACAAAATGTAAACACGAAACTGCAGTTGAATTGAAATTAAATGGAAAGTCTTTAAAAATAAGACCAGTAATCGTTTCAAATTTAAGCTTCGATCTAATTATTGGACGAAGAACATTGAAAACATTACAGATATTTACTCCACTCAATGAACAAATGAAAATTATATTCGATGAAAATTATCTTCAAGAGAAATTTCCCAATGTGATCAAATATTCTGATACGAGTCCGTCCCAATTTGAGGTGGAATTTGATTTGAAAGAAGATGCCAAAATTGTTAGAATGAAGCCTTATAGATTTTCACCTAGCCAACAAGAATGGACTAAAAATAAAATTAGAGATATGCTGAAAAAAGGAATAATAAGACAGTCCTCGTCAAAATATGCTTCTCCCTGTGTATTGAAATCCAAACCCGACGGGACATACCGGTTATGTATTGATTATAGAAAAGTTAACGAAGAAACAGAATTGGACCCATTCCCTTTTCCTATGATTAATGATATAATTGAGAAATTTGGTGGTTGTAAATATTTTACTAAAATTGACTTAAAAGACGGATTTTGGAACATCAGTATCACAGAAAAAACTCAACATTTCACTGCCTTTGTAACAAGTGATGGACATTTTGAATTCACCAGATTACCATTCGGCTGGAAGAACTCAAGTGCTAAATTTCAGAGGATTATGCAAACAGTTTTGAGTGACTTATTGAATGCCAAAGTAACCGTTTATATACATAGACGATATCATGTGTGGCGGCTATACGTATTCTGAATGTGAAGAACTGACTTTGAAAATACTAAGGAGGTTGAATGAGAATAATCTGAAGATAAATGTTGGAAAATGTAAATTTTGCGTTCCCAGTGTAACATTTCTTGGAAGAAACAAAGATGGCGATATCAAGGTGATGAGAGAGGAAATTATAGAAAAAGTAAAAAATATGAAAAAACAGAATGACTTGAAGGCTCTGCAATGTTTTACAGGATTAACTAATCATTTCAGATCATTTATAAAAAATTATGGTATTATTGTGAAGCCACTTAACGAACTAAAGAGAAAGGACTCAAAATTCATCTGGACAAATAAATGTGATGAGGCTTTCAATAAATTGATAAACATAATAACTTCTGAACCAATCCTGAAAATTCCTGATCCTAGACTAAATTATGAGCTATCTGCTGATTCTTCTTATTATGGGTGTGGGGCAATATTATACCAACGGAACCCCAGTGAAGAAAAGAGCAGGCAACTGAGAGTAATTAGCTATTATTCATATACATTTTCTAGGAGTGAACAAAATTATTCAGTCACGGAAAAAGAGTGCCTCGCAGTTGTGAAAGCAGTGAAACATTTTCGTACTTACCTTGATGGAAGGAATTTTATAGTACACACTGACCATAGAGCCCTTACACAGTTACTATCTACTGGCAATTTAAGGGATCGACTTGCAAGGTGGCAGATATTTCTCAGATCTTTCGATATGCAGATTAATCATAAAAGAGGTAAAGAAATACAAGATGCAGATGCAATATCTAGGCTGTGCATTAACATACCTGAAGACACCCCTGAGAGCTTTTGGTGTAATTTGAATATTCAGAATTTAAAAAAAATGGCTGATGGTAGGTATTTAGTGAAGAACAGAGATATGGTGACAGAAATCTTAACCCTATACCATGATGATCCATATTCTGGTGGTCATGATGGATATTATAAATGCTATTACAAAATCAAAAATCGATTTTACTGGAAGACGATGAACATGGATATCAAAGAATATGTAAAAACTTGTATAGTTTGTCAGCACGTTAAATTCAAATATCTACCCAAACCAGATTTCATCCACTTAACTTCGTGTTCAAAATTACCATTTGAGACTGTTCACATAGATTTTGCAGAAATCAGTAAAAAGTCAGATACAAATCAGTCCACTAAATCTTTTATAATTTTGATTGATGAAGCTACTAGACATGTGTATGCTAAATCTTTGAAGGAATCATCAGAGGCAGTTCGAAATTATTTACAAGGACTCCCATTTGTGAAACAAATAAAAAAATATCGTTAGTGATTGTGGCCTTGCTTTCACTTCAAGAATAATGTCAGAATGGGCGGAAACAAATGGAATAAATTTAATACAGACAAGTCCATATCATCCAGCAGGAAATGGTATTGCTGAACGGACAGTAAGAGAACTGAAAACATTCATGAAATATTATGAACATTTCCCAGGTGGTTGGAAGAAATCTTTGGAGTGCGCTGTTCAACATCATAATTCATCGCACAACGAATATTTAGGGTGTTCTCCCCATTTCAAGTTATATGGAAAATCGAAAATTTTGCTAGCCGATAAAGATCTGGACATTGATATCAACATTATGGAGACCCCAAAGACTGATGAAGAACAGAAGATATACAAAATCAGAATTCAAGAGCAAGCAAATAGGCATAAGAAAAGAAAGCCGTCTAATTTAAAAGTGGGTGATTGGATTTTGACCAGAAATCAAAAGATCGGAAAAGAGTATGTCACGAAAGGTCCATTTCAAGTTTGCAGAGTGAAATATATCAATGGCGTACTTGCTTATGTGAATTATCTTAATGGAGATAGAGAAGACAGTGCTCATATATCTAATATACGTCAATTCCATCACAGGAGTGATGTATGCTTTGAAGAAGGGGGTATTGTAGGAATATTGGACCAAGCTGTATATAATGAATAATTGAATGTGGTAGTTAGTGATTGTTATTGATAATTTATGTCATTCAATATTGTCATAAGATAAAATAAAATACATTTATTATAAAATCTATTCAGATTTATTACAAAAATAAACAAGTTCTTG